TGAAGGGTGGTGGTTGCCATAAGGCGGCTATTTCCGCCACTGCTGTTTTCGGCGTGGAGCCTGGTGCTTGTGCAATTGGCGTTTGGGTGGAGGCTTGTCCTTTTGATACAAAAACTTTGCGTGCCGTCGAGCGACGACATAGATCTGAGTGGACTTGTCTCTCCTCCGCTGGACGCCTTAGGTCCTTTTCTCATCATCGCCGATGTCTAGTGTCATATCAAGGTTGTGTAACTCTTAGTACACGCCCGGATGGAGTCAAATGTTGTGATATGTACTTTATGGATTAACTCTGTCACTTGATGGTACCAGCTGGGTTGAACCCTGTAATCACAACAATGAAGAAAGAACGTTAGCCGTCGTCCGGGAGGCAGTCCCATGACGAAACTCTGACGGTCTAGTTAGTATATGTATGATGATATGTAGATTAGGGTTTAGGAGAATAGTGAGGTCATCCCTCCTTCTGAAGAAGAAGGGTTGCTTTTATACATGTTGTCATCTGCACATGATCCCAACAATATCCTTTGTCTAGTCTGGGCAAACAAGACGTGGAGGAGTCCCATTCGTGGATGTTGCGCCACTAGTGGTCATCTACTATTGGTGCAGAAGAAACGGTGGACAGCGCCCTGAGCGCTACACTTGTCGCTTTAGGGAGTGACCAATGATGTTTTGGCTTATTATAGACCGGGGATTGTCGTCTGGAGTCAGACCTAGGCGCGAGAGCGCCAAGTACCAAGGCTCTAGCACGAGACCATGGGGGTGAGGACCTGGATCAGGCGCTAGGACAGACAACGACTGTTAACTAGGTCGTCCTAAAGATAGCGGTCCCACTATCTTTAACGTATTCCTAGAAGGATACATTAACAATAACGAATGTTGACTGACGTACTGAAAAGCATCACATGGTCTTCATCCGCATATGCAATCAATCTCCTAATATGTGATGGAAACCTCTGTTTAAAAATTGATAATAATATAAAAAATATATATGAAAAACTTAAAACAAGATATTAATATATTTTCATTTAATAAAGATATAAGAAAAAATTGATATAAAAACATATTTTTTTAAAGAAGCTATATGTATATAAAAGAAGTTACCAAAGGGTTTTTGGCCTACCGGTAAGGAGTGACCCTCTCAAATGAAAGGTCATGGGTTCAAGTCTCATTAGGATACATAGATGGTTTTAGGAGTATGTTAGTTGTCGGTTTAAAAAAATATAAAAGAAGTTTATTTAACATTTTGAAACACAAAAAAGAAATTAATTGAGTAAACATAATACACCCGGTAATAAGGATATAAACAAAAACAAATTGTTTATTACCAGAAATTTACGAAAAAAGAGTTTGGTTAAAGTTAAACTAAAAAATATGAATAATTGCATATTAAATTTCAAATTTCTCTACTGAAGTCTATTTTGTTATATTAACCCTTTGCTTTTTATTGTAGATGGGGTTTATTTGTATAATCCAGTTGCTACACGTCTATATCAATTATAGCACAACATAGGGACTCATTTCTCTTACACATAACTAATAAAAGAGAGATGCAACACTTAATAACCATCTTCTAGTATATAACAAGAACAAAAGAATATTTCGATTCGGGGTTAATTACAAGAGCAAATTCCTCAATTTTAGTTACAAGTCTCAATCATTTCTGATATAAAATAATTGATTACTCTTGTAAAAACTATAATATATATGTAAGTTTAGAACAAGCCAATAAGACAAATTTAGAAAGAAAACAAACACAAAATTCAAATGTTTTAATTTAAAAGCTAAACATGAGCATTTCCCTTCCATATCCACTTCACATACACTTCTGTTTCTTTCTGATAAATGCTGGGGAAGAAGATTAGGTCCTTCAGAAAACTAGCAATGAAGATTAAGGTCAAAGGTGCCTGGTCAAACCACGAATCACAGAACCAGGAACATTTGCTAGGGACATATGGTGAAAATGATTGCAAACCATCAACCCCAAGAGGATTTTTTGTGCTTTATGTTGGAGAGGAGAGGAAACGATTTGTTATTCCTACGCGTTATCTTTCCCACCCACTATTCAAAATGTTGTTAGAGAAAGCTCATAATGATGAACACCAGAAGAATAGGTTGGTGGTGCCATGCAGTGTGGCCAATTTCCGTGAGGTGGTTAACAAGGTGAATTGTTCTAATGGCATGTTTGATCTTGGGAACTTGGTTGAACAACTTATTTGACCTCAGCAACGTAAATAATTTGGCCTATTATATTTTGATTTTGTTATACTTTTTTAACCGTTTGAATTTTAGTAAGTCATTTGACTATTGAATGGAATTTTCAGGACATATTTTAATACTACCAGTTGACTATTGAATGGATTATTTACTTATGAAGATTAGGATAGAAAAACACTGAATTTACCAATAGATTCATTTTATTTATTGTGTTTAGTAAAAGAATGTGAGTTTATACTCATTTTTTTCTTTTTAGTTTTATAATTGTTATGCACGGATTAGTTTATATATATATATATATATATATATATATATATATATATATATATATATAATCAATTAAGAACTCAAAAAATAGTAGAAACCGCAAAGATAATTTTTAGCCATAAGATTGAAAAACTAATTGGCCAAAATTTGATTTTATTTATCGTCAAAATTTCGCAAGATGATACGACATTTTGGTAATTAATTGCGAAAATTTGATAATTTTCACGGAACGTCATTTGTTTGTAGGGTAAAAGTGATAAAAGAAAAAACATTAAAATAATAAAGAAAAAAAAGGAAAATTCGGCCCAGGCCTCTCCAGGCACCTACATTTGCCCCCAACCCAACATAACAAGTGTCCAATCCTTATTGGCTGATGAATTTTTTTTTCACCCGCTTAGTTTTTCGGCGACAACTTTTTTTTTCATTGAAAAAAAGTTCTGGAAAAACCAATGTTTTTAAAATTTAATTATCTAAAAAATGAGCACAATCATGAAAATTATATATATATATATATATATATATATATATATATATATATATATATATATATATATATGTGTGTGTGTGTGTATGTGTGTGTGTGACATCCCCAAATTCACAGTCATTTTAAAAATTTTATTTATGCTTATTTAAAAATCAGAGTAATCATTTTAAAGAATGGTATTGCGGAATTTGTTCCCACAAAACATGATAAAAATATTATCAAAGCATTTCCGAATAAATGTATTTTGTTTATATTAAAACATTGGAATGTCATCGTCAATACGGAAACATAAGCATAAACAGACCTTACATTCATTTACACTAATGATTTACATCTCCTTTAATCTCTCAGTGTGATGTATCTTCGTATTGACACTTGTGATACAAATAAACTGGGTGGGTCAGGTTGGGAAACATGGTGAGTACATATAGTTATCAACCCACAATAATATAGTTAATTTGTTTCTTCACATATTTCATGTCAAACAATTAACTCGATTACTCATCCCCATTTTCTTTATTTATTCTTCCCTAAAGATTTATCCTAACGGTCATCTCCTACATCGTATTTACCTCTCATCTCCTTATATCGTATTTCCTTATATATTTATTCTTAAGGACTTTTCTAACGATCATCGCCTACATCACATAGACAGTACTGATTCGGGGATTACCCACCCAATACGTGTCTAGTAAGGGTTAGAGTATCATCGCATGAATACGTAGTTACTACATCGCTTGTACTCGTAATTCATCACCTACAGGTTATGAGTCTGCCGGTGTTTCCACATGACTTGTTTAGATTAGTCAGTGGTCGTCATTTATACTCTGGTGGATGACTGCATCACAACATCACATGTCAAGGTTATGGCATCTCCTAATCATCTCTTATCTCGCATCACTATTCAGCATCACATATCTATCATCACCTATCTCTCATCACCAGTCGCTACCCAATACATATTTTATGTATATAATACTTTATATGATTAAATCAGTTAAACATCATCACATAATATCTTCATAATGTGTGTTGCTATTGGCACCCAATTTATGGGTCAAAACTACGGTCAAAACCATTTTGACTTTGGGTAAAATAACCCAATTTGAACCACTTGGGTTGTGGTGACTTGGTAAGATATGTGAAAGATATGGTGGATAACCTATTGACCCATGTTCAAATCCTGGCACCACTCAGCCCTTGTGGCCATGGAGGTTCGTCTGCAGTGACTCCAGGGCATGAGGCAAAGCCTCATGTTTGCAACGGGGGATTAGTCGGTGCGCGAAAGCTGGCCCGGAAACCTTCGTTAGGGAAGTTCCCTTTCCAAAAAAAAAACCCAATTTGATGAGACTTGTGATAGTAATTACATATTCATAATTGTCCGTGACTATCTACAACATCTTTATTTGAACAGTTTTCTTCCCACCCCATCAAACAATCAATTTATCAAACGTTAATTAATTTTACATTTTTACCCCTTACGGTTAAAACATATTTTTAGTTTATATCATTTTCTATTTAAAAAAGTTAGTTTGAATCCTTATTACTTCAATTTAGCATACATTGATATTTCAATATATATATATATATATATATATATATATATATATATATATATATAGATATATATATATATATATATATATATATACCACCGCCACCTCTGTCACCACCACCTCTTCTACCACCAACTGTCAGAATCATATATGATTACTCAATCTGTGAACATACATATATGTATAATCATTTATGATTAAACATATACATATAAACATGTATAATCATATATAATTATACCTCTCTGCTATATAATCATTCATGATTAGGCATACCTCGTTGCTGCCGGTATGCTGGGGCGTTAGAGCGGCAAATGAGAAATATGTGGCTGGGGTTGAATCTCAAGATCTTTATTTTTTTTAATCTCGGGTGAACCGTTATATATATATATATATATATATATATATATATATTAAAAATGAAATTACATAATTAATATATATATATTAAAATTGTCCAAAGTTAGGAATAGTGAAATAGCTGTCTTTTTGGCAGAAATAGTCCTTCTTTTATGGGGGCATGGTTTCTTTTGGCATTTGTTTCCCGATTTTGTGTTCTGGGCAGTTTATGCCATTTGAACGATTTTTGATGCTACGTGTTTTTCGCCGGTTCTCTTCACCGGTTTTCCACCCAATCACTTTTCGATTGCTGGCATTTTTTTCAATCTTTATTTCGACGAATTTGCTTTTCTTGCTCTGTTTCGATCTATCGTTACGTTCCTTTTCTTCCTTCTCCGTTTCCTCTTCTAATTGCAGGTGAGAATTTTCCACTATCTTTTCATGAACCCTAGATGCATGTTGATGTTTCTACTCTAAATTGATGGTGCAGGTTCACGATTGATGTGGTTGTCGGGTTCGGTGGTGTCACCGCCATTAGCTCCAGCATCCTCTACCTTCTGCTTCTTCATTTTATCCCTTCTTAATCGCCGGTGTCAGGTCTGATTTTTGCCTCTTCGATTTTACCCCAACTGAAAAACCCTTCGTTCGCCTTCCAACTGAATTTCCCTCTTCACTTATTGTTGATATTCTTTAAGATTGTGTTTGGGTTTCTTCTCCATGCCTACAAGTAGCAAGCATAGTGTGTTTGAATATGGAGAATCGTCACCTGGGAGTGTTGCACCTAAATCAGGGAAGCCTCGCCGACGGTACATATTTTCTTCCCTTGCTTTACCTCAACCACTTCTATTACGGGTAAATACAGAAGACCCTTTAATCCTCTTTCACCTCCGTCGCATGTCGCCTACACCACCAAAGCTACGTCTGTTCATTTTTTATGCGGTGGCGTCTCCGATGCCGGTGATAGCGGCGTCTGGGATTCCGAGATTTTTTTTTCTTGATGGATTCTTATTGAAGACTCGATTTCCCGTTTCGTTATCTTCTCCGTATGCTGGCTATCTACTTTATTTAGGTATCATGTTTATTGTGGGAATAAGGAGCTTGGTCGACGACTGAAGGTACTCATTTTGACTTTTCGACTTCAAAATTGTTTGACTTCTTTATCAATTTTAATACAATTTGCAGAAAAGGAACCTGTTGGTCGCCTATAGCTTTTAACAAAACCAAGAACAAACATATTCCAAAACCCAGCACCCACAGCAGGAGTAGCCCAAAGGAAAGAAGTGGTAATTTCCAATCCTCTTCTGTGACAAAAAATTAAACGTAACTTCTTACATTAAGCTCAAGTCTTGAATGAAAAATATGACATTAATGAATGAATTTTAGTTGAGAAAAAGAATGCTTGGAAAATGTTTATAACCTATAAACAATTAAGTGAAAGGCCAAATTAGTTCATTTTGACAGCTTTGACTTTCTATCAAAGTCAAACATACAATGCAAAATCAAAAATTACTTTGAATGCTCTTAGTGTATGTTGGAATTGAGTTCCGATTCATAAAGTATTATTGGTCATAATTTAGAAACATCAAATAATCAAACAATTTGAGCTTTTGAGCTTAGTGATAATAAGTTGGTAAAAGGGTAGAAATTTGGCTTTTGTAAAAGCCATGTTTAATACAAGATAAATGCTAAGTTTAAATCTCATGTATGTTGGTTAAAAGGGTAGAAATTTGGCTTTTGTAAAAGCCATGTTTAATACAAGAAATTAGAAGTTTCATGTTTGTGATTAAAAAAGTAATCGAAGTATGTTACTTGGAACAAATCTATGTATTACATGATAAATGCTAAGTTTAAATCTCATGTATGTTGGTTAAAACGGACTGAAATTAAATTGATGATTTGAGGAATCTAATGCATTAACATTATTAACTACATTCTACACAGGCAAATAAAAAAAATTGATTATGGTCAGAATAAAGAAAAGTGGAGAGTTTGCTTTCTGCCTTTGGTAATATGGAAAATGAAAGCTATTGGTTCTGAAAAACAATTTCCTTTTAATAGAAATCATATTTTAATTTTATTATTTTGATTTTTTTCTAAGATAATAAATTTGTAATTTACCTGATTTGATGGCGTTTGTAAGAGGCAAAATAAATGGAGAAGTGCAGATGGCGTGAAACAAGGATGGTGGATAAGGAAAGCAATGAATGAACGGTAAGTATAGAGGAAACCATAAGCCGTAACTGTTCACAAACATGTTCATTTTTATTCTATATATTAATGTCCTATTACAGCATCGTATTTTCAACTTTTTCTTCATTTGAAACTTTATGCTTTTTAGCAATCGGTTTGGTCCAACTTTCCTTTTCCAACTTTGGTCACAGGTAACCAATCCAAAAGAAAAACGAATCTTATCTTATCTTATGAATGAATAAAGTAGACTTGGTGGAGAAAAAAAAGATTTATTCAAGGTTGCTGAGCAGTGTAGAGATCTTCCTGGATATGAACTGTATGTTACCCTTTTCGTGTAATAAGTTTCTTTTCGTCCCTGTTTTGCCCCTGAATTTACATTTATTTGCTCTTTTGTTCCTGTAGGTGTTTCATGATTTCTGGACTTAAGGATTCTGGTGTAAAAGATTTCATATAATATTTTATGAAACAGGGAAGCTTTCAATAATTTTCATGTTTAATACTATTTTTCATATTGTTTTGCTGCTAATAATTTTGTGTATTTGTCAGTGTATGCAGCTTTTTTATATTAGCCAACTTAAAACACCATGGGATGAAGTGGTTAGAGAAAAGTTTCCACACCGTGTACATCAGGTATTATAATTATATAATTTATTCTTATCGTGATAATATTTTTCTTATTAAGAATGATCAAATGACCACTTATAGTCTTTACCACAACTTGTGTTGGTTTCCATCTGATTTAGAAGGTTTTGTGAGCAATCGTTTCAATTTTCTGCATACAAAGCTTGATTACACTGTTTTTTTAGGTTTTTCCAAAATTGAAGGTTTGGAGTTCTTGATGGGTGTAATTTGCTTGGTGCCGATGCACTTACAGTATCTTATGGAAGTTCTCATGTGGGTATTGATTGGTTCATAGAGCCAATCTTAGGTCTGGTAAGTATATCTTTAACTTCTTCAATTTTTTTTTTTTTTAGATTTATGTTAATATCATACTCACCATCTGATTTACAAATTATCGTTATGAACTTCACTTAGATTTGTTTGATTTTGGTCAGTAAATCTATATCATCACAGTGTTGTGGTTGATTGTTTTGTAAAACACAAAGAATTATGAAACTATTATCAATTTGGTTACAGAAAGATAAGGATGAATTAGAAGATAGTTTTCATGAAGCTTTGGTAGAGAAGGTAAATAAGTTGAATTTGAAAGTTATTAATTATACTCGCAGAAGATGTTGCAATATTCGAGTCTCCCATGTTGGCAGCCGTCAACAAATTTTCATATTGGTATATACATAATTACTATTTTGCCCCTATCTAGAATTTATCTTTTTTCTCTTCTTCCAACCCATGGCTATTTTGTTCTTTCAATAGGTGACTGTTGATACTGGTGTTAACGCTGACATCAGCTGTGCTTATTTGGATTGGCCTTGCAAAGAATCGTATTGATTATCCTCCTTTTTGGTACTCCATTAAGACAGCCTCATCTTACATCATCATTTTGGCTTCATATTCCGCTTATGGTAAAACCCTAAATTCCATATTTTATTTTTATCAATTATATAAAATCATAAAATGTAATTCCAAAAATCTGCATTTGTTCATTCTAGACATGGTCCCTATTGTAGCAAACCATTACATAAATGGTCCCCGTGACAGCTAAATACTACAAAAAAGTCACTATGACATTAAAATGTTACACAAATGGTCCCTGTGACAGTTTACTATTACAAAAACCAAATTTGTAAAAGTTAACTATGATAGAGACCATTTTTATATCATATTACTGCCACAGGGACCATTGTTGTAACGATTTATAGTCATAGAGACCAATTAGGAAGTTATAAAATGTGACGATAACCATTTATGTAACAGTTTCATAAAACAGGGGCCATTTTTTTAACTGTTTGGTAAAAGGACTACATGAACCATTTATGTTGATGCAAATTGTACCGAAAATAACATTATACTTTAAATTGAAACAGCTACAGTGGTTTCTAGAACCTTGGTTTTTTATGATTCATGAAAAGGTTTTGTTGTTGATGGAAACCATGGTATATTGTTCCTTTTGATGTATGAGATTGATTGTTTGTCAATGTTATTTGTTAATCATGTTTGTGAATGTTAGTTATTAACTTATAGCAAGATATCAACTACAATACAATTTCCATTGCTACGATGTACATTCATTTTTTAATCACATATTACAACATATTCAACTATTATGCGTTTGTAAATGGTTGAATTGCAGTGAATAGCAAAGTACTTTACTATGTCTACAATTTAGGCAATGTACTATATTTCACATAAAAGTGACACCTTCTACTGTCTTCCGTTGTTTTTTTTAACATTAGTGGCGAATCCAACCCCCGCAAAGCGGGGGTTCTCTTCTAGTTATAAATATTAATATGAAAATTAATTGTTTTCAATAAAATAGCGGAAACAGTTTAAAACGTCGACGCACTTACCATCCCATCATTCATTAAACATAAGTATTACATTTTTTAATACTTTTTCATTTGCCATCCCATCATTCATTAAGCATAAGTATTACATTTTTTAATATTTTTTTATTTGAATTAGTTATTAGTGCTATTGACTTATTAAAAATGGTTTTAGATATGGTGTATTTAGAATCCCCACACATAATATTAACACATAATATTAACGGCATAGATAATAAGCACATAAGTATGTAATTATTGAGAAACTTCATATCTATCTGTAAGATGAAAGTAATTATGCATTCAATTGTCAAAGTGATGACTCGAAATTCGGGCAGCGCTTCGCTTCTAACAATCGTCATTTCCTTCGACAAAACCTACCATTATTATCGCTAAGTTTTTAGTCTAATATTTATTGCGACTACTTATTAGACTGGATTTATCATTAACTCAAGGTCTACGAGCTATATTGTTTTCTTGTATTATATAAGTATTAAACAATACTTTTCAACAACTATAAACATACAGGGGCCACACATGAAACACCGGAGGGCAGACCCATTTTGGCATTTTAGCTGTTCTGAAATCCAACAACCCAATTCGTCCCTTCAAACCAGATTCCCCGTACCGCGAGCAATTAAAATGTATTATAATAACACTTGTATATTTTATAATACTTAGCACATATATTGTTTATAGGTTCATAATAACGACAATGAACTTAAACATAAGTTATACATAAAGTAGGATAAGCATAACTCACTTACAAGGGGTTTAGCTAGGAGTCGGGCTCTGCATGGGCAAAACTTCTAAGCCGAAAGCTCTTCTTCTCGGAGCCTTCTGGCGCTTCGGGACTCGCCTCTAACACTTGGGAAGTGCTAGGGAATGGAAGAGAGGGTTTGGGGGTATTGGGAGAGAAAGAATAGATTTGGTGTGAAGAAATGAGAGATTTGGGCCTCTATTTATAGGCTGTCTGGGGGCCTCTCACTTCGTGAGACATACCTCTCACGTCGTGAGCCATGCGTAGGCACCGAGGCTTCTCCTGGTGCTGACACGTGCCGCCGGACGCCGTTAAAACAACCAATTTTAAAAAAATCATAATGTTCACATACGAGCTCCGTTTTGACGTTCTTTATATCCACGCATAGGTATTGACATGATCAACAACTTTACTTTTGACCCCATTGGCTAATTCTTGACCGATTTTAAATTTAACAGTCTGAGAAGATTACACTATTAACGACCGTGTAAAATTCATAACTTCTACATACAGACTCTGTTTTCAACTGTCTTTTTTATCGCTTAACTCCTATTAATGAGATCTTCAATTCTCATTTAGATCATTTTGGATAAATTGACCGATCTAAAATTTGATTTCTAAGTTGTATACTTCTATGCCAAATCTTAGAAAAATCATAACTTCCTCAAACGAAGTCAAATTTGGACGTTCTCTATATGCACACTCTCGGTTTAACATCTACTATAACTTTAGTTTAGATTGCTAAGGCTAAAAAGTAGCTGATCAAAAATTCACTTTTTACGTTACGCGACGATGTGCCGGTTTTGTCGCAAAACTTCGACGGGTCATAACTTCTTCGTTATAAGTCGGATTTTAGCGTTCTTTATATGTACGGGATCCTTGTGACATATACTATAACTTTGGTTAAGATTATTTATGCTAAATAATATTCTATTAAAAAGTCATTTTTAACGCTCACTGTCTCTAAATTGACTAGCCTGAATCTGCGGACGTTATAATTATCTCCCCCTTTGGATGATTATGTTCCAAAATCATCAACAAAACAGGGCTTGTATAATGACTCCATACATTATCTTTTCATCCTAGGTAATAATCGTAACTCTTGTGTCCTTTCAAATGAGTACCTAACTCTTGGACTTTCTGACTGTTGGCGGTGCTCAATTTTGCACCTGCTCTTCGTACTATGTTGGACTTTCAATTGTAACCTTTGAGTTACAAACTTGATCCTTATTGGAGACTCCTATTCTTCTTAACAAACTTAACTTAAGATAGGTCCTTTCCTTCGATTACCATTATTGACTGATGGGCCATGTTCTAATGACCTCACGTCGTATGATGCAACGCTTAGACTCAGGTCTTTTTGAGTCAGATTCTAGAATGGAATATACCTTCCTTCAGGTTCTTATGTGATATAATCACATTCTAGCATGCAGCACTTCTAGATACAAGCTTCTTACTTTAACAACGATCGCAATACTTCTATTGATGCTTCGATTATTTTTCACTTCTGGCTTAAGTCAGACACTACATCGAACTTGGTTCTATGAACCACGCAGAATACATATCTTAGTCGGACTCGATATGATATGACCACTAGGGTTGGAATAATAATCATCTTCTTAGTCATTAACGAAACGACGGTAACAACAAACATGAACAAAACAGAATCAATTACTAGCCTTGGTAACCTTGTAACTTTCCTTGATCCAAGTGCGAGTATTGTGCTTCCAGTAGTATAAGCATTTACTACCTTTCACACCTACTCATACTCTTCCCAAGTATTGCCTCTCAGTTCTCCAAGTTACCATACAAGAATTTCACATAGTCAACTAACACATCGGATAACATAACTAAGGTTTATATTATTTCTTGAAATGATTACATAGACATTCGAGTTCAACTTATACTATGCCTCTTATATTAGGCTAAACCACATGATACTTTGTATATGGTTACTTTATAGATCCTTACTCCTAATCCCTTGCATCGTTACCTGCTTCATCAAGGATCATCTGGAATGCTCTTGCCTTTGGCTTCGGCGAAACATTTTGCCTTGCAGCTTCGTTTTTCTTTAGGCAGTTCTTCGAAATATGCCCACCATCTCCACATTCATAACACTTCTTGTTGTCGAATGTACAATCTCTGGAATAGTGACCGATCCTACCATACTTATAGCAAGTCACATCTCCATCGCACCTTCCGAAGTGCTTTTTCTTGCACTTCTCACACCAGTTGGTTCCACCACTACCCCCCATACTTTTGGTCGTTCATGTCACACCCCAAAAACCGGAACGACGGAAACGTTCTGGGGCGGAGGACATCATGTTTAGTATCACAAGACATGCATCATAGTAAGCAAAGTAATAAACAACCATTTCATTTGGGGTGTGACAGATTGGTATTATAGAATTAACCACCTAAGGTCCTTTAAGTTTTACTGGTTTAATAAAATGGATTAAACTTTACTGGTTAAGTTTCTAGTTTTGTATTCCAAAAGTTCTTCATTTGAAAAGTATGTTTTGTACTAGAAAACGGTGCATTGAATTAGTGTCCTATGACCGGACCCATACATGGTACCCCTTATGATTACTTGGTGTATACGGAACATATATATAGCCAAGCTCGGATAGATAGTAGGTTGGGTGTATCTGCTCTAAGCCCACAACCAAACAATGAACATGAAATGAAGCGGAAAGCACACATCCGACTACCTGTCGGACCCGATTAATATATATCCCTGAATGCATACACGAAGGAATCATAAAGTTAGCATTATAGATCCCTTTCTACTGAATGTACTAGACTCGACTGTTCTGTGTGTCGTTTGTAAAACGTAAGTTTTCCCTAGTTTATAACTATCTTGACTCGAAAATAGTTTGTATTAACTTTCAAGTGGAACTGTCACTTACTGAAAGTAATGGGAATTTATAAGTACACAGTTGTCTTTTGAATTGACATCCTGTAGTACTAATTACCTTAAAACATGTTTGTTTTAGTAAGGTCATAATGTGAAGGCTAGTACCCATACTATACGCTCTCCCTGTCAAGAGATCCTGGGAACCAAACGTGACTGCAGCAAACAATTGCTAGCCGTGTAATTCACATTAAAGTTATATGATCATGTATACCCAATTTAACTATCACCTTTTGTTAAGAACAATGAGTTAGTGATTCATTGGTATAATTAGATCTTGTAGTTGTTCTATGCTATAGCATCTTAGTATGTTCGTTCTGTTATAGTATCTTAGTATGTTCTCTTTGAAGCATTGTATCTACCTCCCTGTTTCTCTTTATGTTATCGTGTATTGTATCTACCTCCCTGTTTCTCTTTATGTTATCGTGTATGAACTAAACCTCTAAACTATACCCCTTATAGTTTACTAGTATTTTACTTGAACTGTTATTGAAAAGGGTCATTTTACTACTAAGTTATGCTTGTACTTTAAAAACGGAGTTTTGTTAAACTATAAAGTAACATAACTTTAAAAGAGTTTTTGAAATGTTTTGACTACTTATAAATGACATAAGTAATCTTTTGAAAATGTTTATAACAACCAATTACACAATTATCATTGTGTTCAACTTGTATTCCCCCCTTAAAAGCATTTAAAACAGTTTAAAAGATTGATTACGGGGTATGAACTCACCTTATGTGGGTGATTCAAACGAATATGCGCGTAAGGATGAGAAGTTCCACGAATGAAGTCCCGAGACACAACAAGTCCTAAATGACATAAATTGGCATGAATATAGTGTTTATAAGCAACTATATGAAAGGAAACACCCCTAGGGACTGGGAAACACTTGGACCAAGTGTTAGAATCACATGTGATTCATCTAAGGGATGTTTAAGGCCAAAGAATGGTGTTTACGGCCATGGGTTTACGGCCATGGAGCTTACGGCTGTAAACTTATGGTAAAAGGTGTACAAGAGGGTGTTTGAATGCTTGGGAAGCTTGAGGGACCATTGCCCTACA